TAACAATTGTGGATGAGAAAGACAAAAAAGTTTGAATAGTGGACATTGCAGTACCTGGAGACAGCAGAAGAGAACAGAAGGAACTGGAGAAAATCACAAAATATAAAGACCTGCAAATAGAAGTAGAATGACTGTGGCAAAAGAAGGCATAGATAGTACCAATAGTAATAGGTGCCTTGGTTGCCATCCCAAAACATCTGGAGCACTACTTGAAGACCCTTGGCATTGACAAAATCACCATCAGTCCATTGCAAAAGGCAGTGTTACTTGGACAGCTTAAATGCTGCTGATAAAATATTTCATCATACAACTGGCAAAGTTTTGGCACCTAAAGACCTATAAATGTTTTATATCACTCTATAGGGAATCCATCCAATCCTGGAGTTTTACCACTTGCCATTTTTAAAATTATATGTTTAATTTCTACTTCAAATAGTGGAGCAAATAAAAGTTGTTTTGGGGTATCATCTAATTTTATTTAGAAAGGCCTCTATATCTTCATTCAATAGAGTCTCTGGTTTGCTATATAGTCTGAATAGAATTTTTAAAACTGCTAATTTATATTCATTGAAATGTTATACCTCTAATGATTGGAATAATAGATAGATAGATAGATAGATAGATAGATAGATAGATAGATAGATAGATAGATATTGCTTTAAACGATTGCCAAGATCTTACCAGGTCTTTCACTGTTCTTCCAGTATTTCTGTTGTGAACATGTTAGCATAAATTCTGTCTGCTTGAGATTATAGTAGTTAATTCATATTTCTTTTTCTGTATTTCTCTGTACAAAACTGTAGATGGCTATCTTACCATCTGTGCCCATAAATGTTTCAATTCATCTTTCAAATTATTTTCCCTTTTATTTTTATTTTTGTATGATGCATAAGCAATAATTTGACCTCAGATATATGTTTTATATGCTTCCTATTCAAAAATTTGGGCACTTGGGCAATTTTTGTGTTCACATCAAAGTATTGTAAATTCTCTACCCACATTTGTTGTACAAATTCTTTATCATTTAATAAAAAGACATTGAAATACCAATTTCTTGATACCTTGACTGGTTTCTGAAATGCGCATTTCAAAGTAATTGCACTAAAGTCTGATACATTACAAACATCAATATTACATTCTTGAATTTGGTGATATAAAGTCGATATTAAAAAATAATCAAGCCTAAAAAAATTCTGATGCACATTTGAATAAAATATATATTCTCTTTCAGTTGGTTACATCAAGCACCAGGGGTCTATTAAATTCAATTCTCCCATATAAGTCTTAATTTTTTCCCTCACTAATCATTTTTTTTCATACTGGTGTATTTTTATTAAGTTCAGGATCCAATATTTCATTAAAATATCTGCCTGTTACCACTTTATCATAAATACACTCATTCAAATGTCAAAAACATTCATAAAACATAATAGGAGAATCTAAGTTAGGTCCATAAACATTAGCCATAGCTATTGCAGTCTCTGCAATTTTAGCATATAAAATTAAATAATGCCCATTGACATCAACAATAACCTGTTGTACATTAACTGAAAATCCTTTTTAAATCAAAATGACCACACCTTTAGCTTTTGTCGAAGTATCTGTAAGATAAACCTGTCCCACCCAATCCTTCATCAGTAAAGATTTATCTTGTTTCATCAAATGAGTCTTCTGTAAATAAGCAATGTCTGTCCTTAATGATTTTAAATATGCTAAAATTCTATTTTCTTAGATTCTCACAACCCTTTTACATTAAGACTAACTAACTTCATCCATTAATTTTATTTAGCCCACTTATAATGTTCTCCCAATACCAATTCATTTTATACATGTCATTGAACAAATATCTAATAATGAACTTTTCCATGTTTGAATATTTATCATGTTTTCTAGTATTGCTCACAGATGTAGAACCTCCATAAAAACTCATATTAGCATTTGAATACCGTTCTGTTACATATATATTGAATATATTTCCCATACAGTAAATATACTTAAGAAAAAGGAAAAGAAAAACTTGATTATGTGCAAGAAAATAAAAAAAACAAGCAAGTAGCATTATTAAAAAGACTAAAAAGAACCCTAAAATAAATAAATAAATGCACAACTTCCCATAGGAGACAGCACTGTGGTTTCGTCTCCCTTCTTATATTCTGAGCAGTTTCAGACTTACTACTTCAGGTAAATGTATTGTGTCTAAAGATAGATGCTAAAGTTGGCAATATGACCAGACTTTTTATCATGAAGTTAAACAAAAAAAGGAGTACAGAAAAAAAAAGTGGAGCCTTTTAAAATGAGGCTT